TGTAATATTGGCGTAGTTTCGGTACTTGATGGTTTAGCGGCCCAAGATGCAGTTGGAGGTAACGCTGATGCTGTTTTTTTTTTTTAAAAAAAAAAAAAACATTAAATAAGATTTGAAATATTACGTTAAATTACATATAAAATAAAATATAACTTCACCCTCTTCCCTCTCATCGTTACTTCCTCTATCACTTTCTGGCCCGACTATTCGGTGTGGGAGAGGTTCAGCTTTTTTAACAGTATGCTGCTGAGTGGAATGTGGCGGAGGAAACACTGAGGTTGGTCCTGATGATGGTGGTCGACCTAATTGTATTTTGTGTGCTTCGGTGTTTGCATGTTCCTTGAGATGGTACTTGCTATATGGTTGATTACAAATTAGCAAGCAAAGATACGTTGAAATTATGGTTTAAAAAAAAAAAAAAATTACACAGAAGCCAAATCTTCTTTAGTGTAACTATCTGCTTCTTCACCCGGTTCGTGTAAATACATGCAATTTGGATTTTGGCAGACCATACTGCGCAAATAATATGTGCAATATTTTGTTGTACCGTATGATGCCCTACGTTGAGACATTAATAAGCAAATTAGAATTGAAAACGAAGCATAATAAAATAAAGTAAAATAAACGAGCATCCGCTGTCAAGTGTGGAAACAGTGGTATGATTTTAACCTCAACACTTTGCCGTCCGAATTGCTGCCATCCACAGCTGCTATTGCTCTTGCTGCGTCTTCTTTTCGTACGTATGTGATATAAACCCCAACGCTAGGCTGGGGTGGAGGTGTGCTGGGGACAGTCGATGCTGGAGGATTTGAGTGCGAGGTTTGACAACAATTCAATAAACTACTGATACTGATCATATGGAGAAAAGGCGATATTTGTTGTTTTAACCATCGCCTACCTCCTCATTCGCAATCTTCGGGCTTAGTCCAATTACGTAAACCAGGTTTTTTTTGAACCACTCTCATGTTAGACAGATGTTTTCTATTCATCGCTTCAAGTTCCTTTTTTTCACGCTCTCTTTGCTTCTTTTCATTCTTGATCCGCGCTAACCTAGACAACATAAAATGGTTTCATTAATAGTATTAATTTTAAAGCAGATTATCAAGAAAAGAAGTCTCCGAATTTTGTATTGTAATTTTAACATATCAAAATGTATGTCGAGATGTTAACAATTTTTAACTTACTCTTCAGCTGATATGGGCTTAAATTCAATAGTTTGTTCAGAATATACTCTTATTGTAATTGTAATCATATCTGTTTATCTAATAAAAATGTCCCCAGGCCAAAGAGGCCACCTTAATATCAAAAAAAAATCTACATATTAACTTAAAATTAAATTTTATATTATATAGAGTATGAAAAAAAAAAATATTTTGCTTTGTTATTTTTGTATATTTTAAAAATATAACTTTGCCAAAAATAAAATTTTACTAATTTTAAAGTAATAAATATATATAAAAGTATACTCTAAACAATTTTACTTAGAAAATAAAAGTAGATTACCTTGATAGAAAAACAAGTTAGCTATATGCTAAAGTTAAAAATTCTAGTTTTTCTATATACAACTTTTTTTTCACTTATATAAACTGCTTTTGTCTTTTAAGTAAAGTTGTTTAGTATAAAATTTTATACTTTTAAAATGTTTTTGTTACTGCGTCCACCCAGTTCTACACGGGCAGAGCAGAGGCAATACTGGCG